TTTAAAGAGATAGAAGCTATGAACAAACAGCGGGTAATAAATTTGAGTATTAGACCACAATCATCATTTATTGTACTTATAAAGAAGAATGAATCCATAAGGTTCTTTGTGGACTAACGGAAGGTGAATGGAGTCACAAAGAAAGATGCCTACCCACTGCCAAGGATTGAACTTACCTTGAATACTTTACCTCGATTAAAATTGGATCTGAAGAGTGGATATTGGCAAGTTCAAGTCAATGAAACAAGAAGAGAGAAGACAGCCTTTAGTACAGGAAATGAATTTTTGCAATTTGTCGTATTCAAATTTGAATTATGTAATATATCTGATACATTTCGACAACTAATAGAGTGTGATCTCCCTGAACTACCAAAAGCTATTGTACTCATCTACTTGGATGACATTCTCGCACACAGAAAGACCTTTGACAATGTATATAATGTGCCAAAGAAAATTCTGGATTGGTTGAATGAAGAGAATCTAAAGATGAATGTAAATTCTTCTATCAACAGGTGAGTTTCCTGTCAGCAGAGAGGAAGTGTCTACAGACCCACCTAAGAGTAAATATGTTTAGTGTTGGTCATCACCAAATAGATAACATGAGGTAAGAGTATTTTTGGACTATGCTTTTACTATTGTCGTTTTGTGAACTTATTTTCTGACATAGCACATCCTCTTCACAAATTACTTAAAATAACCAAACAAGTTTTGTTGGGCTGTTGATTGTGAACAAGCATTTAACAAACTAGAAAAAGAATTGACCATTACTTCTGTATTAGCACACCTAACTCTTGAAGATACCCTGATTTTAAATATAGATGCCAATGATTTGTCAGTGGGATCAGTTTCACCACAAATAAAACATGGAAAATAACATGTGATTGCTTACTATAGTAAGGCAATGAATGGTAAAGGAAAGAGGTATTCTACAACTCGAAAAGAACTACTAAGTGATGTTTGAGGTATACGTCAGTTCCACCATTTTCTATATATTCAAAAGTTTACACTCTAGGCATATCATGCATCATTTAAGTGGCTAATACATTTCACAATCCCTAGGCCAAGTAACGAGATGGCTCCAGAAACTTCACGTATAAAACTTTAACATTGTGTATTGCTTTGGACGGAACCATGAATATGCTGTTACATTATCCTGAAGACCATGTATTAATGATGAATATAAACACTGTAAAAAAGGGTATAGTAAATATGACTAACCTATTCTACAATATATTACACTTAGAAATATGATATCCACAAATGATGATGAAGAACTAATGTGGTCCAACACTTAATTGAAATATGCTTAGGCATAAAATACGAGTTTACAACCAGATGCTCATTGATTCAAGAATAGTACATAATAACCGCTATAGCAAACAGTCGCTCTGTACAGTCCAAAGATAAAAATGTACAGAACACAATAGGATTAATAGTGTCTACAAGTGGGTTTGTTATGTTCGAAATGAGAAGAAATCAATGGAAATAAACAACGCCTACAGTTTATACTTCCATAGTGTTTATATTGTTACGACAGCGGAAGTCACGTGACGTTGGTAACACGTCATGAGTTTCTAGAAGGATCATGACTTTTCTTGGCAACTCTAGTCTTTTCCAGGCGCCCTCTATTTTAATATATAAGCCCGGCAAATAAAGCGGAGATAATAGCAGATAGAGAGATATAGAGACAGATAATTGAGTCAAGCGAGCGGTCTCTGTTCGTTTGTTAATTTTCCGTAAAAAATCCTTTCCGAAGAACTTCAGCGATACAAGTCCTTTCTTAAATAAAACTATCTTATTCTTTCTCAATACAACTTTGCAATACACTTAATTTCCACAGTCACTTTAACTTAAACACACGCTATAATTCACAACGATTCACGCACTTTATGTACGGTCACTGCGTAACAATATCCAAAACACTCTGTTATCTCCACAACCTTCCATCAGTTGGGTGCTTAGGTGTTAAGAAGACATTGAATAGAGTAAGAGAATACTTCTATTTTGTTGGGTCTTGGAGATCTATAGACAATTGATATAAATCATGTGAACTATACTGTGACAAAAAGGTCAATGGAAGAAATACCATGAACAGGTACAGCAGTATTATGTTGGAGTACCACTTGCGAAAATTGCTGTTAATGTGTTTGGTTCTTTGTTACAAAATAACAATGGAAGTAAATATATCATGGTTGTGATGGGCTATTTTATCAAATGGCCAGAAGCATATACTGTTTTTGAACAGAAAGCACAACCCCTAGCAAGGAAGCTCGTTAACGAATTCGTTTCAAGATATGGGATGCTAATGGAACTTCACTGAGATGAGGGAGGGAATTTTGAATTTGTTAGGTTCTTGGAATTAAATAGATCAGTACAACAGCTCTTCATCCATTTTCCGATGGAGAGATTCATCCATACATTTTTGAATCAATTAGTCATTTATCTGGATGAATGTCAGAAAATGTGAAATAAGAATCTTCAACTGCTATTTATGGGTTAATGAACGGCAACACAACACCATCACTGGTGTTTAGGAGAAAATTTAAAGTGTCATTGGACCTTCTGTACTCATATTCGGAGAATAGTCACTTAACAGAGTTTTACACAGAATATGCAAAGAACGCCATTGATGTCATACGTGATTTTAGCGAAGAAAGACTTAAATCCTATAGTGATAAAATTGAAATTCAGTATAATGATAATGCTGATAAGACAGAATTTCGTCAAAGTGAGATGGTATGGTTGAACAATCCCTACCACAAGAAAGGACAAACTCCAAAGTTAAGCAGGTGTTGGGAATAGCCTTGTGTTGTACTGAAAAGAATCCCTGATGTCATTTATATAATCCAGTAGGGGAACAGCTAAATGGATAATTTCAGAAAAGAAGTATTCAGTGGAATGTCAACCTACCGAAGCATCCAGGGTTCCTGTTCAAACCATTTCCATATGACTGCTCAGAGTAGAACCTCTAATGTATTCATACAACCACCTACATAGGGAGAACCACACCAGTGATGTGGCAACATGTGATGATAAGGAACAAAAAGTCATTCCATCTGTATACCAAAATCCTCAGATAAAACACGAAAAAAATAGGTGAATGGACAGTTAGTACCTGTTTATTTGTGTATTAGGATTGTTCAAGGAACTTCACAATCTAGGAGAGGAATAGTGTTGTGAGCCATGTTTTAATATGTTATTTTGGTATGTTTGTTAGGTTAGGCATACAAAAATCTCTAGAAGTTCAT